TTTTAAATTTAACTTGTATTTATAGTTTCACCAACCATTACCACACCAAACATCACCTAAAGCCTCAGCTTCCCCTCAATCAATTTTCTTATTGTAAGTGAGACAATATCGAATGAAAGAGCTAGAGTTTTACTTCCATAATAAAATTCATCTACCCATCAATTTTCTTATTTGTTTCGTGTTTTGTCTCCTTGAATTCACACAAAGACAAAACAGATTTCTTGTTAGGCCAAATATGATGTTTTCGGTATCCTTTTGACCCAACCCTTGGGATGATCACCGGACATGCTTATAAACCAAGATTCTTATCTTTCTTTGTTATTTATTTCCAAAGATTTCTCTCCCATTGGCACTTAGGTTTGCGGTCCAATAGTTATATATCTCATCACAAAAGTACGTTATTTAATTTTAAATTTTAACTTTAAACCCCCACTTTTAAATTATAATTCACTAAAAGAAAAAAAAACTTTTTCCCCATTGTAAAACTCCTTTTACTTTTTTTTTTTTTGCTAAATGCAATAAATAATCTAATAACTATATGATTTATTTTAATTTATTTTAGAAATAATTTTTTATTTCAAAATGATATATAAATTATTAATTTTGTTTTAAAATAATCTACTTAACAAACATTCCGTTAACTAGATTAACGAAAATCTTTTTTAGTTGTTATATATACCCTCTAAACTTTTAAAAATTGTTAAATATAATACACATATTTTTATTTTTTTGTAACATTTTATTTTTGAAGTTTAAATTCTATATCCTATATAATAATTAACTAAGATGAAATTTCAATTTACATTAATTTGGATTCTAATTTTAATTTACAATAATCAATATTATAATTTAAATTTTATTATTTTTAAAAAAATTAATTTATTATTAAATATAAATATTTTTAATAAATAAATCCTTCCAAAATTTAATTTAATTAAATAAGTATTCGCACATAATTAAAATTACTTGAAAAAATAAAAATTCATTTCAATTTTATAAATCCCCAAATTAAAATCATGTATGTTTCATTAGTGTTAAAAATAAAAATAAATTTTTTTATTTTTCTATACAAATTAATGAAAAAATATGTAATTTAATAATGATATTAAGTTTTTAAAGAAATAATAAAATTTAAATTATAATATTGATTGTTGTAAATTAAAATTAAAATCTTGATCAATGTAAATTAAAATTATTATCTTAATTAATTATTACATTTGACATAAAATTTAAACTTCAAAAACAAAATATTACAAAAAAAACAAAAATATATGTACTATATTTAATATTTTTTAAAAATTTAAGAGGCACACATCAACTGATAGAAAGAATG